AACAGCGAATTTCAAGATAGTATAACTAGTAAACCACGATCTCCATCATCAGGCAGACAAAATTCAAGATTTTTGAAGAATGAACAAAAAATATTATTTATTAGAGTTACGCCTTCGCAAGATGGACGATCTCAAAATGAGTTTACATCAAATCCTATCAAAAATGTGACTAGAAATCGGGGTAAGATTAGAGCATATGATTCTCTTGAACTTAATACTCTGACCGATGAGTTAACAAATCACGATCAACCAAATGAGCTGTTTAGAGGAAGTGAAACGAAATTCAGACCAACCACTTCCACCACCACTGAGTCAACAGAAGAGGTATGAATGAAATTAGCATAACAAAATAAAACAACTAAAGCGAATCGTCGGTCAGGCGCACGAAAGCTACTAATATACTACCTCATTAATATGAATTACGAATGTGTAAATGTTGTGGTCGCTGGTGAATTGATGACTGCTGCATGATTAAATCTAAACTGGAAAATGTAATTTGGTTTAACAAGAACCATACTGACGATTAAAAATCGGTGGAAATAAGTTGCATGATAAAATAAAGACAATTTATAGTTGCGAATAGTTGAAGCATCCGCTACACCACTGCATTGCATCCTATGCTTCCCATCCACTAATAAACATAAATGCTAACAAACTCATCTTATTTCTATTATACTTAACAATAAATCTATTTTATAGTATTATTAAGTTTATAAATATTATTTTAAGATTCAAAGAGATAGACCTCGCCAAAGAATTACAAGACCAATTCAACGTTCGACGACCACTACTACTACTGAGGAATCAACTCCAAGTTCATCAACAGAATCATACTCGTTAAAAGTAAACCGAAGGAGAAAATTTAGACCTGAATATACAACTACTTCAACTCCAAGTTACGAAGAAGGTTTGTAATTAACATTTTTAGAATTTCATTTAAATGTAATTAAAAATTATGTAAAAATATAGCTAAATAATTTTACCCAATTACAAAAAAAACTGAATCCTATTTAGTTTCATAAGAAATAAGATTAAATTAAAATTAAATATAATATACATTATACATACAATAAGTCACATTATAATTTAATTTATGTTTTTACGCCTAAATGTGAAATGCCATGCTTGAAAGTAAACAGAAATACAATAATTATTTTGTAAAATAAAATTCTTAACTTTTAAGGGTTATTGCATGATAAAATTATGGTTTATACTTTTTTATATAATTTTTCAATATATAACGCAAGACAAAAAACGCGCTTATTTTAAGTGAATGTTAATAATAATTAAGTGTTGAAACATTTAAGACGCTAAAGAAATCTGTTTTCCCCAAGTTTATTAATTTGACGGTAGCTTGGTAGCTTACATTTATTTTTATTAATTTCAAACTTAATAAATTATATATATTTAAAATAAAGTATAATAATATATTATCGTGACTAAAACTTTTAATTATTGTATTTTAAAGAGTCAACTACACCAAAAACTCGAAACCCTGAACGGAGATTTAGGAGCAGAACAACAGTATTGAAAAATACAAAAACTACAAGTACAACACCAGAAACCTTGGAAGACAGTGATCGAAAATTCTTCAGTACATCAGTACAACCATACAACGATGATTCGAGTTTTTTTGCGAAGACCCGAGATGATCGTAAAATCGGTGGATCAGCAGAAGACCTAGCCAATACAGCTGTAGTTGCCATACACACACTCGCTACGGCACCGCCTTCAAATTACGACTTTAGTGAGAATACTTATTTACTATGCACTATATATTAATTATTTACTATACAATACGAATGCAATCGATAAAAAAACAGTCGCGAGTTGTGGGGTGGTCAATAGGGAGGGAAAGGTACTTTCTCATCTAAAATTGTTGAGGGTGCCACATTTTAGTAAAGATACCATGAAATCAAAAATAAATATTGTTTGATATTAACGATTTTTTCCCTCACAGGACCTTCTACGCACAGTCCGCAACAGAGCGTTTTTCGTGAAACCACTCAAGACCACGATTATTACGAACCACCGCGAACACCACATTCGATAGACGCGTCGTTCGATGAAGTACAGCCGGCTAGACTGCCGGTACAACCGCTAAGGCAATCGGCACAACCTCAGCCACCTCCGCCACCAACTGTCAAGCTGCCCGCGGTTCCGTTCCAACCGGCACCTTTCCAGCCTTCTCCATTTCAGGCGGGTCCCTTCCAACCAGTTCCGTATCCCGGATTACCGTTCCAAACGAACAACGCGTTCGCGCCAGTCGCGAGACAGTCGCCGACGACCGCCCTGCCGCCGGCCACGTCTCGGCAAACGTTCATATTGCGGAGGGGCTCGTCAAGGACCACGCCGCTAGGAACAGCCGCGACATCCGCGCCGCCGCAATACTTGAACGACAACGCACAAGAACAGTACGCCGACTACTCAGAACCGGAACAAGCGTCCGATTCCGGCGAACAGCGGGTGGCCCTCAAAGGCAAGGTCCGGATACACGGAGACGGGTACATCGAGTGCCTGGACATGGGCAGTTTTCCGCACCCTTTTTCGTGCCAGAAATTCATATCCTGCGCCAAGACGGAATATGGAGCGCTGCTCGGATGGGAGTACACGTGCCCCAAGGGGCTCTCGTTCGACCCGGTGGGCGGCATTTGCAATTGGTCGTCCGGGCCCGTGTGCAACAACTGATGTGAGTCGGTTAGTTGTGCCTTAGTGGCACAAACACGAAAAGAAAAACAAAAAGCGAAAAAAATAACAGACAAAATAAAATTCCTAGTCTCCTCACTCTGTCTCTATCGCTCTATCTCCATCTCTCTACCTCTCCCTATGGCTATCTTCCTCTCATTCCTTCTCTATTTATCGAAGTGTAATTTTTCGTTAATATTTGTAGGCGCCGAGTTATCGTGTTATTTTCAGGGCCAGTTTTTGGTAGAGAATCCAACTCGGATGAAATTACATTAATTTAATCGGACTGTCGATATCAAAATAGTATATATATATATATATATATATATACATACCTAAGTATTGTAATTTCATTCGATTTGTTTTGTATACATATTTTATAACTACATATAGTATATTATGTTGTAATAATTAAATTTATATTTGTATTTTTATTTAAAAATAAATTGTAATTATAAAATATTTTGTATTCAAATTTCATAAGCCTGTCTTACATATATGGTTTATTTGTTCACGTCACAGGGATAATATTTATATAAAGTCATTGCATGATCATATATTTATATGTATTATATCCTGAATTAACCTACGTATATTACATTATATGATAACTTAAATTAAACTATGTAAACCAATAACCTAACCAAAGTATAGTTTATAATTTTCAAAAAAAAACATAACCAAAGCGTAGTTGAATGTTGAATTTGTATCTATTAAAATTGTTACTAATGAATTAAATTAATACTTTGCTAACAGCTTAGAACGCATAATAAATACAATATACATAAATATGTACTATGTACCCAGTGGCGCAACAAGCTTAATTGTTTTGGGGGGACTGAAGTCCCGCATTTTTTGATACTGACATAGAATAAAATGATGGTAACTTTATAACTCAGTGTTGCTACTAACCAATAAAAAAAAAAACCAAGACGTATTTTTTTATAAAAAAATCAGTATTTATTATTTTTTATGAACAAAAAAAATTTTAAAAGTGCTGAACATTTTCGGGGGGACTAAGTCCCCCCAAGCCCCCCTATTTTTGCCACTGTATGTACCTATAATACCATAAACCAGATTCAATCTGCAATAATAGTTGGTGGTTCGATAGTTGGATTCCAAAACAACATAGGTAATATCATCGCAATAAAACAATAAGTTATTTATCAGCAAAAAAACATCATTTTTTATTGGTACGTATAAATTAAAATTCGTGTCATAATAATTTATAACTTAGGTTTCTAAACCCAGGCATAATATTATGTTTACCTATACTATGTTATGTCTTTATTATACCCCCTGGCCCCCTCACCATTGGTGACAGGTGTGAAAACTTATGCATTTCATTCCCTTAAAAGTTAAATGTCTTAAACAGGTACTTATTTATTTTAAAGCGACTGGTAAAACAGGAAAAGTATCATAATATAATCTGCGATCATTTAGCGCAATCATTGAATTAATAAACAGAAAAATAATTTCAAGCGATACCAGAGAAAACTCGATCATAGCGATCGTTTTCGCATCATTAACCATGAGGCCATATCAATGTATAATAGTGGTGTCTGTATAATCGCTCAGATGCTCGTAATGGCTCATGGAATTATAAATAAGTACTTACCAAAAATTGCAATAAACACGTCGACGTTATCGTGAGGTGCGACTGTTTAGTCTAATAAATTATTAACTATTAAAATATATTAATAAAACATACGACAAAAATTCAAGACGATGTACAATAACATACAATATTGAATATCGATTTCAAATGATGTTGCGCCGTGCACTACCCCGCCGAACGTCAGCCATTCAAGATTCATGAGTAGGTATTACTTATTTTATTCCATAATATTTTAATTTATGGATAAATAGTTTGAATGTATTTTAAAAAAATGTCGATACATCTATATAGACGTTTTTCATTTTCTAAGTAGAACTGTGATAGGTAAAATAAAAAATCTTTGACATTTGTATTGTTTTTCATTTTACGAAATTATATTTAAGTTTTTATTTATATTTTACTTCTAAACATAAAATTACATATTTGAAACATTTAATAATATATTTATTTTTATTTTACGTATATACCTAATACCAATTATATTAAATCAAATAATACAAAATTGAGTCTACCGATTAGTTTACTGTTTTCGTTTAACTTTACTGATGAATACTACAGGTACCTACCTAACTACAGGCCAAAAACTGCATTTAAATAAAATATCAAAATAAAAAATGAAAATATAATTATGTTTTCTATGTATAAATAAATAAATAATATATTAAATATGTATAATTATAAATAATGTATACTGCGTCTATCCATGTACCTATCTATATTATTAAAAGTTATAAGTATACTATTAATACTGTTATACTATTTCGTATTCATATTGTTTCAATTAATGTATATTATTCACCAAAGACTTCAAGTTTCTAGTTAGTATAATTTATAGTCTACTGTGAACCACATTATATAATCTTCTGTCTTCTGTGATAAATTTCGGTTTAATCAATATCCAATTTCTTGAACGTACCGCTCATATCCATATCAATCTTTTTCGGTTGTACTGGTCGTTTTGATAAATCAGCTTTTGGCATATTTCTGTACCATTCGTCGTCCTGTTTTGACTCCTCTATGATATCGTCTAAAAAATTCAATCAACAATTTAATAAGATTAAATAAGTTAGTGGGGTGGTTAAACCTGGAGTACAAGGTTTATGTATAGCCTAGCTATTGTAAAAGCTCGTCGAAATGAATTTGTAATTTTTGAAATTTTAGTATAGGTACTTGTTTTATATTAGATAATATCTTATAAAATATATAACTAAATATATTTTACCAAATAGATATTTTAATCTGTGGGTTAAACAGATTACCTAGTAATTATCGTGTAAGGGAGGGACACCATCATCACTTTTATTGGGTTGTAATTATTTTTAACTAAAATGATTAGATTTATTTACCTAATCATTAGGTTAAATATGATCAGTATTATTCTATGCACTGAGTATTATACACTAAATCATCCGAGTTCAGATCCTAATCATTTAAATAATATTGTGATAAAAAATTATTATCATTAAAATATTTATTATTTTTTACCTTTAATAAGTTACAGACTATAGTAAATTTTATCATTGAAAGTTTTGTATAGAACTCATAAAAATATGTAATTAACCGGCCCAAAATTCGATGTAAGGACCTTAGAATAAATTTCAGCATGAGTATGGGCACGGGGAGACAGAGAAAAAAGCTTCCTCTCCAGCGAGGTTTTCAACCCCCGAGATATCTTCCGTCAAATTATTTAATATTTAAAAAAAAAAAAAAAACATTTTTAGTATGCATTATGAAACAAAATACTAAAATAATATAATAAATAATTTTATATTTTCTAATAGTACCTATGATAGTTTCAATAATGGTGACTGCAATCTGCATGGTTTGTTTTGTTAAAATAATAGCTGCGAAACAGTGTCAAATATACACCGTAACTTCCGTAACCTTACACTAGTAAAATACTCAAACTTAACAATGCAATTTGAACGTCGGAAAAATATTATTATGTCAAAAAAAAAAAACACGTTAAAAACTGTTGTAATATTTTTATGATTAAATATAAAATCAATTTATATAACCACACTTATGATTGGTGTGAGAATTAGTTTCAAAAATCTATGTATCATTTCAAGGCCACAGAAAAAAAATCCAGAAGTCCAGAACCGTTTAAGTCTCAAGCTACTGCAGTATTTCCTCCCCTATTAATAGATATTGTGAACACTTAAAGATATCGGCATCAAGGTGTAGTATCTAACAGGTACTAAAAAAATTTCAACCGCGTAATAAAATCGTACTAAATACTAATCAAATAATTTACTTTCAAATTTCTCAATACTGCCCGCGGTACCGCCGTATTCGTCTGGCAACATATCTCTGGGGATAAATTCGTAAAGTGAGTCGTAGGTTTCATGAATGACAATCTAAACAAAAATGTTCAAAATAATTAACACAATTAAGATACATAATAACAAATTAAACATAGGATTTCGTTCAATATATACATTATACACAGTACACTGTTATTATTAGTTATTAGGTACTTACTCGGTTTTGAATTTTAGATGGCATGAACAGTTTGAAAAAGTTCACCAAACGTGAAACAAATTTTGGTGGATTCACGTAGTGAACACCTCTTACTCTCAATGGCGTAGCTTCCTAAAATCAAAAACGCAACATTTAACAATTATTATACTACAATAAATTAATAATTACAATTACAATTGGTATATTAAACTGTATTTAGGTAATATAAATGGTATTATGACTATTATGTATTTTTATTAATATGTAATAAATTGCATTATAGATATAAATATATATTATATTTTAATATATAATACCACATAATACATGTGTTAAATTTACAATATTGTAATTATTCTTATTTCTTATGTATATTGCGTATTTTTTTTTCTTTGAAATAACTGAGTAAAAGAAGCCTGATAGGTTGTATTTTACGATTTTTAGCCCAATATAATCACTTTTAACTTTATATATGATTACTGCTTTTCGTAAATAGAATATTTGTTTTTTGTGTAGATATGCAATATACATATTGTGAATTTTATGTAACTTACAGTTGAATAATATTTATACTTACGTCTATGCATCGCATTAGGTTTTTGGTTAATGTAGGTGTAAAGCTTAATAAATAAGACAGTTGGCAATATTTAAGATCGAGCAAAAATATTAATCCGTAAACGGGTTCTCGACGCATTAAATAATCAATCGTTTTTAATGATCCTTTGCACATAGCCATCGCATCAAATTCTCCATCATTGTTTTCAATTGACCGAATGATGTGTACGCGATTAGCTTCCGGTGTCAATTTTGGTAATACTGACATTTTTCTATAAATCAAACATTTTTTTTTAAAAAAAAATAACGGAGATATACTCTTATAGTTAAAAGTTTTACTATGCACTCGAAAAATTCAAAATAATTTGTATCGTTGGCTGTGTACAGTATACGCTGTCTTATTTACAGATAATCAATAAGGTAATCAATAGGGATAATTCGATATTTCGATAATTAAGTCATTCTAATAGTATATGCCTTACAGATACCTTATTTGGATTTGATCATATTATTTATTATTTTTAATCACATATAAAAAATTATACTAGAATTGGTAAAAATTGGTTCCAACAGAAACAAAAATTTTTAATTTTGAAAACTAAATCGAAAAAACCACAAATATTCTAACCCTAGGGTGCAGGTATCATCTTCTAAGTACCTACCTAGATCGTATTATGGAATTTCATGGTTTATAATAAAAAGTATAAGTCCACAAGCAAGGTTATATGACGGTTATATTGGTGATGTTTAACTGTTTTTCTTTAATTAATTAATTATAATGCTCATCATTTTAAAAAATTACTATATTATAGAAAATTAAAATCTATTGATAAGTATTTTTTTATTTATTAATTATTTACTTTTTATAAAAATCAATAATTATGTTAAATTGTATTAGCCTTCATGACACGTAAATGACACCAAAACAATTTCTGCAATTTATTATACCAATATAACTTATCTAGGAAACGTATATTACTTATTAATGACAATATTAAGGTCACCAATCTTTAAAAGGGAAAACAAGTTTATTTTTATAGTGATTTACTTTGTATTTAAAAGAAAACAAATCTACTTTAATGGAAACCATTATTTTTTTTTCTTTAAGAATATTATTTTTACGACAGTCATATATAATTGTGTTATGTTTAGAATTTATTTTTATTACTTATTAAATAATAATTTTATTTAATTTTAACACCGAAATCTAAAATATTTGAATATTGTATTTATGTTTAAAACATAGTTTTTGAAATCTAAATATTTAATGGATTTATTTAGTTATTTATTCAACTTAATTGGTTAAATAATTCACATAAAATAAGGCATAATCTGATACATTTAATAATCTTTATCTTTGAACATACGACTATAGTATAAAACCATATATAAATTAATTAATAATAAACATTTTTACCAATATTCGTTATATGAAATTCATAGCTGACATTTCCCATAACGTAGAAAAATATCGTTGAAAGGTATAAGTTTTCAATAATGATAATATACACTTACCCAACTTTAACAGCCTTTTGAATCCATGCAGCATCACTAGTCATGTTATCGAAAAGTTCTGGTACTTCTATACGAATTGTAAAGTATGATTCAATAACTTTTTTCGTCCTTTGCAAATTATTTTTACGACCAATGAGAAAATGTCTCAGCCATACTCGATCTAAATTTAAAAATTAACATACAACGGACTTACTTTAAATTTAGATTTATATTTACAATTTTATATTATTAGATAAGTAGTATATATTTGTATGTTCACAGCACTTTTTAGCAGACAAATATTTTAAATGTATATTCCAAAAATATATCCCTAAATACTATTAATTTTCTTGAGTTACACAAATCATAATAATTCTGAAACTACATTATCACACAAACCTTTTTTTTTTTAAATAAATATAATATACTACTTAGATATTAATTGGGACGGTAATCTCCACACAAAAAGTATTTCTAATTTTTACATCATGTTTATTACACATGTATGCATAATTTTAATAAGTATTTTTTTTCAATGATATTATTTAAAAAATATATATGTATACCTATATGATAAGTAAATTCAAAATATTATGATTATTTTTTATAACTGGAATAAAATCCTTGTAACTATATAGATATCTATGATTATTTTATTTATATACAAATAAAAATATTAAATTTATGTTAAATTACCATAGTTTAATAATAATTGTTATAAGTGAACCTATAATCGGGAATCAATATTATTTTTTTTTTCACTTAGATTATTATATAACCGTATTACAGTTAAATATTTAAAATAATGAAAATAGTATTATATTATTAATTAATGAGTTTTTATTAGCATGGTAAAACTGAAATTAATGACTTACCATTAACAATTTTGAACTATTTAAAGGGAAACATAAGAAATATATTTCATGGTGGATTTATTTTAAATAAACCATATTTTTATTAATATTATATAAAATAAAATAAAAATATTTTGATTTAATTAACACAATTCAGTGACTAATAAATAATTTCTAAGTATTAATTTATCTTTAATTTTTATCATTTAAGTTTTCACATATCACAAAAAAATCAATTTTTTAATTTAGAATAGAATAGTATAGACTTTCACAAATACCTACAGTAGGTCTCGTTAATCCGAACACAGGTTAATCCAAAAGACGCGATAATCCGAACTGACTTGGAAATTACTGCATTGCAATACTAATACACCCGTGTATCATAATTCATAATAATATGCAATGTATATATACTTATTAACTGGCTATTTATACATAATTATAATAATTTTATTGATTTTGATTGTATTCATTGTGTTTTTCAACAACAAATTTTATGAATTATTACTGCAGTATGGATAAGGATTAATTTCAAAATTTGAATTGCAAGAAAATTTATTTCTTTTTTTTAAGTCATAAGTAATCCGAACAAATCGTTAATCCGAATGATCCCTTTCCTCATTCTCGTTTGGATAAACAAGATACTACTGTAATACAATTTAATCTTCTTATAAGAAACATAATATAGTAAATGTTTCCTTACGAAAAAAATGTATGATAATAATAATGAATCTTTTAGTAAATTAGAGTACTTATTTTACTACAAGAAACATAGTTAAACAAACCTGTTATATTAGGTAAATGCGGTTGTTTAGACAACCAGTCGATCAAAGCATCAATATCTTCTTCAGTTTCTTTAGGATCTTTGTAAAAGTACAGATTCTTGATAGCTTGTTGGTGTTGTTGATTTGGCGGCGTTAAAACCATTTTTGCTCGTGTGGATTTATATTTTAATAGAATATAAACTTTTAAAAAACAATCAATTTGACTGATTAAACAAAACTTCTTCGAACGTCTTGCGCTCTATCCTGTAAATATGACAATGATACAATATATAAAACTATACCACCGATTCCAAATTTTTAATAGTTGCTATAGTATATCATACGTTATTTAGTCGGTGCTATAAACGTACTAATCATAAACACGTGAGTTTGTTCATATTAAATCTACTAATGGTAACGTATTGAACTGGTTTGTGTTAACCTTGGAAAATTTCTAAGGATTTAATTGTGAATGGTGATATTACCTATAATATGTCCAATAACTTAGTTGTTTCCTGAAAATTATTCAGGGTCATATCGAGTGATCTTTCGCCCCACTGAAATGTAAGCAGGTAAATGACATTATAATTGAGCTGTATGCTTGTTTAATATTTTGTAAAGGGATTTTCTATGACGATTTTTCAATTTTAAACAAGAAAATATGATTGATACTTAGGACTATTTTTGCCGTCAATACATCATCTTTTTTTTCAATTTTAGAATTAAGTATACCCAAACTTATGTAACAAACTGCAAATAGAATATCAAAACAAAAAATAATTATGAAATACGTAAAGATTATTAAGAAATAAGTATAGCTGGAAATTCTGGACATATGTTTACATTTTGTACTTATAACCAAGTTTATTTTTATAAAATATTATAAAATGGTATAATACATTTGCAAACTTCTTAATATTTTAATATTAAAAAGTCAAAAAATGCTAATTTTCTGTTATAGACCTAATAACTGATAGGTGTTAGATACGTGATAATGAGTTTTAAGATAAAAAAGTTCGAACATTATTTTACCTTTTATTAAAAAATAGGTATAGTTCAATTTATTTTTGTGATATAATATATTAATATACAAGAAATTGTATAATTTGTCATATTATATTATATTTAGACACATTTATGAATTATGAGTTTAATTATCCAATGAAAACGATTAATGAGAATAAATATGTATATACCTAATTATTTATATACTTATGTAAAGACGTAAAATAGCTATTAATTAGTAACACATTGAATTTTTCATATAACTACAGACTTGGTTATAAATTATAGTATGACATTTTTACTTTTCTTCCAAAGTACCTAATTTTTGTAAAAATAATTTATGAAAAATATAACTATATCCGTTGTTAAAATGTATTAAATAAGTTTTTCACCTAGCCTGCAGTAGGTATCAAACAGTCATTATAATATCATCTCCTAAATTTACTCAATACATGAAATGACTACTAAGTTTAATACAGTGGTGCTAAATGGCATATTATACATTATAACGAATATTAAAACAATCGAAGATATTAGATATAATATATTATTATATAATACATTTTTTCTTTCGTATAAAAATGACTTTTTTATTTTGTATTTCGATCCTGTGTCGATCTCTCCATAATCATTTGTGAGCTGACCTCGTTTTAATTAAACTTGTCATGAATACAAAAAGTTACAAAAAGTAAAAACATATAACTAAAAATTAAAATGCTTAAGTTAATAACTATTTGAAGATGTTATAACATCATTAATATTATTAATTAATCTGATAAAAATTAAATATATTTTATACAATAAAGGTTTTAATATTTAATTTCGTATTATACAGAATAATACATTAAAAATATATAATATATATTATACTCACTATCTATTTACTATATATACGAGGGCAAAAGAGGAGATAATAAAAACAGGTTATTGCTTATAAAATCAAACATTCGTATTTCTTTTAAGTTCAAAAATGGTATGAACTTTAATACTCTAAAAAATAAGAAAAATTTTCTAAAACAATGTCATTTAACCTAAATAAATTTAGTGTATTACAAAATGTATTTAAGTTCATCAAAGAATAATGCTGAGCAGACAAACAGTGTTGAATAAGATTATAAGGAATCATTTTGTTTTAAAAACACAGCATACTATAAAATGTACAATTTTATAACTGAATTATACATAGATATAACTTGCAGTAGTTACAATCAAAATTATTAATTTACTATAAATACAAGATAAATATTTCTACATAAATATATAAGCATCTTAAAAATATGTTTTTAGAGTAAAACAATCTAAATTATATTTATTTAGTTTAAAGTATGTGTAAAATATTATTAAAATACAAAAAGAATAAATCTAAATTGTCTATAAATAGCTCAAAAATCTCATAGTTATACCATGTATATTTAATAGTAAATAAATTTTATAAAGATCTTATGAAAATTAAAAGATTTTACGGTTATTTGTTTTTGAATTACAAAAATATAAAAATAACTATTTTATCAAAATTTATTTATGACAAAAATTCCCATTTATTCTAATTTTTTTGTTTTTTAAGATTTATATTTATATCCACTTCTTAGTTATTTATAATATATTATTTAAATTTTTTCATAGACGCATAGACGGAAATCATTATGAAATAAATTTTATTTGTTGAAGAAGTATTTTTTACTATAAGATATTAATGTCTTACAGATATTCCCTCATTTAAATGTAAAACAGAATATCGGGCATAGGTGTGTGCACCCTGGCAGTGGTAAAAAACATGAGCCTTTTCAACAAAATTTGTAAGGCTAAGCCAATTATTAAATATTAATTCCCTATTGAGCTCGACAATTTTCTCGCAAATCAGTGCATCAACAGTTCGAAAATTGTTCTCATAAACCCTGTCTTGATGTACCCCACAATAAAAAATCCAATGGAGTCATTTTGAAGGTTACTTTTGTCAATTCTTTTTTTTTTTTTTGAATTAGAACTATTAACAATCTATACTCATGGTACAATAAGCTTAAGAGATATTTGAGAATTATAATAATAATAGAATTAATACAAATCAATCAAATGTCAATTCTATCCATATTTATGATACACTTATTATAATAAACTATTTATAGCATACAATTATATTAATTAATAAATTATTATTTATATATAATAACTCGAAAGTATAATAATTATAAATAATCCAAATTATATAATAATGAGCCTGAAAAGTTTTTGTGTATAATACTAAAATATTTTTACCCATCAAAAATAACATTACAATGGGAGGTAGTATCTATTGAAAATTGGTACCTATATATTATATTAATACTATATTGAGAGATAATTCAAGGGATCCTGAAGAGATCCAACCGACTCTTTTAAATCAATTTATTTTTCTCATTCCTGAATAATACATTAAATTTCAACAAATCAAATATCAATTATATTATATCCAAAGTAAAATCACAAGAAACTGAAGGAACCAATTTTCATAAAATTTTGCAGTATAAATCAATGAATCAAATATTTCAAGTAGGTACCTATCGATATCGATTAATAAGAAACTTTTAAATTCAAATATTTTCGATTTTCTTGACATTATTTGTACAACTATACTTGATTAGTATTATTAAAATCTTCAAAACAATCAAAACATATAATTTTAGATTCTAAGTGGAACAATGAATGTATTTTTAATTAAAAACCTATTTAATTATTGATAAAAATCAATAGAAAAGTAAGGTTATCAAAAAGAATACATATAATATTACATACCGGAAATCATTAGAAAATACATTTATTAAATAATCAACTATATGTCTACATACCTTATAAATGTAAAGCATAATCTTATATAGGTATAAGTTACAATTTCCATAATATGCGTCATAACTGCAGTATTTCCAATGTAGGTACATACATTTTTTTTTAATTATTAAGTATAATAGTTAAAATCTTAAATTATACAAAAAATTAAAGATGCTAGAATAGAAAAAATATAACACTGCATGTCCTAACAAAGTGGAAAATAGAATTTCTACATAAACATATTTTATCTATATTACATAATATATGGCTATATACCAGGTATATTACCTAAGATTTAATATGTACTTTCAAAACTATGTGTGGACGAGAATATTGAAATAGACCAATTTTTTTCAGGATAAAATGCAGATTGCAGTGAGTTTCAAACTTTTAACGTTTTATAATTGGCAGTGGCGGCTTGTTGATAGGGGCGATGGGGCGATCGCCCCCCTTCTAAAATTATCATTTATTACAAATGTATAAGTTTATTATCAATTTTTAATTTTTAATTTTTAATATTATCAAAAATAAAAATTGTGTTTTCTATAATATTTACAATATTAAGTATTATGAAAACATTATCAGATAATGGGAGTTTAAAAATAAATCATTCAACACTGTAGCTTCTGAAAATCGATAACCGATAACGATTTACCAAGATCCGCGAGCAGCGTATGCGATGCTTGAGCGATGTTAAAAGTCGCTCGTCATAACTATGATCGGAATACAAAAACTAAGAAGGGGGAACACAATAATAATACTGCCGCCGGGGCGATGATTTTAATCGCCCGATACACATGGATTCCGAACTTGCGTATATTTATTATTTACTTTGTGCAGTCATAACTCGCAATCAATTATTTCAATTTGATATTTTTTTTCCAAAAATATTTACTGGAATTATTAAGTTTTTAATCATGGATTTATCCACACATAAAAATTTTATTAAATTAATTTAATTAAATAACCATTATTAATATTATTTGTGTTCGATACCTACTTTCCAAAAATAAGCAATTTTATATTATATATTGTTTAAAAATAATAAATAGTTGTTTTTTCTATTATTATTAATTAAATGCAAGATTTAGCAATGAAATAATTATATATCAAGTGACAAGGACAAAAATTATTGCCATCCTGAGCGAGCAACCGCTACTACTTTTTGTCACGCCTCTTATCGATATTACCGCTTACCGCGGCACCGGTAATTACTTGCTACTAATTAGTAATGATTACTAATTAGTTAGGTACACAATTATCACGACAGTACAATTTCTTTGCTCGGACTGAACATATATTCGCCATTTATTAATAATTATTGTGTTGTGTATATTAAGAAAAAAATGTGTTTTTTGAATAGGTACATTTATTTATAAATTCATAAAAAGCACATTCTGCTAATTATCTTTAAAATTGATTATATATAATTACTCGTTATTATAATTTATTTTTGGTTTTTATTTAATGCTCATTTAGTTCAATTCGGTATAATTACACTTACTTGTATACGGTATACCTGAAAAGTAAAAAATGTAATTTTCCA